GGCAGCTGCTCTGTGCAGAGCTCTGGGATCTGGTGAAGGCCTTATCAGAAACAGGGAATTCACAGCAAACTCACTCAGACCACCAGATCAAGCGAGGGGGTGGGAAGGAATGACAGTTTAGGGCACCTCAGAGACCTGCAAGAGCCAGACGTCATTTATCACTGAGAAGGCAAAAAATGCCCTGGAAGGAATGGTACTATGTAGACAGTCAAACTTGGTAGAAAATAATTCCAAGGTTATGCCTTCTATGTGGAGGCAAGAAGCTGGGGGCCTAGATTCCTACAGTTGCATTTGAGGTTCACTTTGAAAAACCACAGCTTGGAAATGTGTACTAATCCTTCATATACCTGAAGGTTTGTTCTTGAAGGGCAGGCTGTGGTTGGAATGGGGCTTCTGGGACTAGTGATCAGCATCTTTGCAGTGAAGATTTCCAAGGTCCCACTCTAACGCCCTGAGCTTTACCAGGAGTAAAGACAAATGCAGGGAGACATACAGATGTTCTCCTGGGTTCAGGGAAGAAAAGGTGAGAGTGTGTGTATCCCCAGCTTTCTGCAGGGCCATGTCATATGTAACTGCACATGACCAGAAAAAGATGCCCTTCTATAATATGGGGACTTCCTAAGAAATGGCTGAGGGAGAGGGCAGGGTGACAATAGAATTAACACTCTCCCTACACTGTCCTACTTGCTATTTCATTCACTATTAAGAAGAAATGCTTACACAGAGGCCAGCGCAAAAGCCTGATATTTTCTATGTATTTTTGAAGTTTTTGAGATACTCCATAAAGCAGGTTCCTGGTTAAGCTGGCTATTCACAGAAAGCCTCTGGTTTTCTCACTTTGTTTAGAGGTGCTGAGTGTAGTAATTTAAGAAAAGCACACAAGAGAGAAAGATGCCATGTGACAGGGTTCAAGCAGAGGGGTCTTTTACTAGGGAAAGGATCATTAAAAAGGGGAAAGGGAAAGTGGGGGGAAACCAGCCTCTGGGAACAGGAGCAGCTGGAGAGAGGAAAGAGAAAAGAGGAGGAGACAGAGAAGGAGAGAGGGAGGGAGGGAGGGAGGGAGGGAGAGAGAGAGAGAGAGAGAGAGAGAGAGAGAGAGAGAGAGAGAGAGACAGACAGAGGTGGGGAGAGAGAGAAGGATGGGAGGTGGGCAGGGTCCTTGTAAAAGGGAACATAGTGAATGTGCACAGGTGGTGTTCTTAGTGGCTACAGATGAGGGCGTATCCTGTCAGAACCCAAGGACAGGCCAGTACAGATGCCCGAATACCAACACTGAGTACACAGTGTGTGTTTAATAAACCCTAATGACTGGCTTTCCCCAAGGCTAACAAGGGTCTCATTTCTACCTAACCCACAATGTGCTGTGGATCAGTTGACAATTCAGAGGGATCTGCTCCCTACTTTACTGAGTTGAGAATTTA